CTCTCTCTCTCTCTCTCTCTCTCTCTCTCTCTCTCTCTCTCTCTCTCTCTCTCTCTCTCTCTCTCTCTCTCTCTCTCTCTCTCTCTCCATTCTTCCGTCCCTAAGCCCTCTTGAACCCTTAACCCTTCTGTCACCCCTTCCCCTCCATGGCATGTGACTAACCTTTACCCTCACCTGTTACATTGCCAGGGAACGAACGGAAAGGAATTTGGTCCTCACTTGGTGGAAAGCGAGGGCAAGGGAAGGGCTGCCGGTCCCTTGTGCCACCAAGAAGGAAAGGATACGAGGCTATTGAGAACGATTGTGAAAGCGAAAAAGGAGTGTTGTATTTGGACGAGGTCAGTTTGACTTAACCATCCTCCCGGACTGCATGACTAAGGCAATTGCATGGCTTGCTTGTGGGAAAGGGAAGGGAACTCATAAGGGGAGTTGGGCGGCAAAGGGGGCTTAGGATTGCGGGAAGGGGCGATGTGTTGACCCCAATGGGGATTGTACTTGGTCATTTGTCTTATGTGGTCTTGCGCAGGTGAGTAGCTTGAGACGATTCGGACGGGGCTGGATCCACGGATGAGGACTTGGGTGGGAGATTGGCTACCCCAACCGTGCGGGCCGTTTGAGGCCACGCTGCAGCTCACCCAGTAGGGTCCACCGTTGTATATAGCTGGGCCACGGCCTCGACAGACACAGTTCGGTAGCTCACTTCTTGAGCAACACGCTGCTGGTTTAGCGCTGCACTGCTTAGCGCTGCGCTGCGAGGTTGAAAGTAGAGGATAGGAAGGCAGAGGGGCGGAGGCCATACCTGCAGTAGGGGGACTTACCTGGCGCCATAGCTGGGACTCCCCGTGCACCCCACCTGCACACGACAACGATCGACGGTCAGTACGTCGGCGCCCATCTGCAGGTGAGACAGCGAGGAAGACGACATCTTCTTCTTCTTCTTCTTCTTCTTCTTCTTCAGTTTCCCTCTCGTCTCCCTCCTTCCTCCCTCCTTTCCTCTTCTTCTTCTTCTTCTTCTTCAGATAAAGAGAGCGAGAGATTACGGGCAGAGGATACGGGCAGAGGATACGGGCAGAGGCTATAGCGGGCATGGCGCCCGGGATCTGATCCGACATTTTTGAGGCAGACATTGATTGAACATTCGACAAGGGACTATTTTTGGACTTCGCTATCGCGACCTTGGTCTTCTCTCTTGCCTCCTTCTTCGTCTCGCCTCTCCCCCCATCTCTCATCTGTGGTATCTCCCCCATGTGTGTGGTCAAGGAGGGACCTTTCTTCTATGTATGCAGGCCCCTTCTCCTCTCTCACATGTGTGGTGTATGATGGGATGTCGCGTCAGTCGTAGTCAGGTCGGGACTTATCTTTGAGTCTTCCACTGTGCTACTTTGTGCCATTTTTGTATGTATCGGGATATACATTGCTTGTTGAAGTTTCACTGACATTGCATTGTCCATTCAGTCCTTTTCATCACATTACGGATCCTTGGCGCCATACACATTGCCCAACTGGGCATGTGTCACTCCACCTCCTCACCACGTAGACTTAGTCCCCCACTGCTAATCTACTAACTTTGAGTGTGTCTAACATCTGCTTGCTTGCCTACTTCCCCTCCCACAGTGCCTGTTACCTATTTGCTCCAAAGATGTAGTCTATTTTTTTTTTTCAGAATGCTGACATGTTGCTTGACTTAAAGCAAATCGAATGTGTCACAATACTTCGACCAGACCAGCAGCAGCGACACCAAGATGTGGAAGGTACCAATCACTCAACAATGAGCAAGCAATACAGGGCTTAGGGGGCAACGATTCACTTCACTTCAGTGAACATTCCGTTGATGAAGCTCCACGATTCGCTCCAAGGCTCCAGCAAGCAGGTACGTAATCACCATCCCCAACTTCGGCCACTTCTTCTTTGGCCAACTCCCCTGTGCCAGACTTCTCCCACTCACTTCTCTCCTTGCCGGCCTTAATCATTGCCAGCGCACCTCAAGTGGATGCAGCTAGCTTACTGCTTTGATACCAATTTGCAATGAACCTCTCAGTTCGTCACCTTGAGCGCACACACACACAATATGAGATCACACGAAATCCACACTGGAGGCCAGAGAGTTGAAGACCAGGTAAGCACAGCTTAAGAATTCCAACAATTATCATATGAGCAATTAAGGGTCCCAGTGACAAGCGCTCAACAGCACAATGCCAAGTAACCAGTGTCCAGTATCATCATCCAAGTATGTGACTCTCTCACGGCTCCTCCCTCTTCTCTTTTTCTTGATCTTCTCTCTGTCTACTACCTCACTGTGTCTTCTCTCTCTACTTGCATGCACTCACACTCTCTACTACTTGAGAGCCAGCTCTGAATACACCCACTACTATACTCTACTATACTACTAATGCCAACTACTAACTCTAGTGCAGCTATGGCTGCCTTCTCTCTCACACACAATAGTGCAGCCCTCTGGCCTCAGCGCCCAACCACTCGCATTAGTGAACAAGCGCAACAGCACTTCCACACTTGATGCGAATGAGCAATCTGTCCAAAATGTGGCTGGCCAGTCCTTATATTGACTTGGACTGAGCTTCAACTCGTCCCAGCCTCTGCTTCTTGCGGCTTGACTTGGTACTGGTACCACATCCCCACGGCTTGCTTGGTTCAGAATGTCAAGGCCTGGTACTTTTCCCGAATTTTCATTGGTGTGCTGCTGCTTGGGCCTGTGAGTCACGACTTTTCACCTGTGGAACATGACTTTTGACTGTAGGTTGTGACTCTTGCCTCTGGGACACGACTTTTGGCTGGGGAAGTGTCCTGTGCCTGTGGAATATCACTTTTCAATATGGCTCTTCAATATGAGACGTGACTTTTGCTTATAGAACGCAACTTTTGCCTCTGGGATTACCGGGTGCCTGTTGGACTTGACTCCTAAGGTACCCGACTGTGCCTTTTCTAAAAGCGACTTTTGCATTTTAGTATCAGGACGTGACCCTTCAGCTGGTCTGCGCCAGACTTGACCTTTGGGATATTTGACAATAACTTCCAGAACTTGGGCGACTGGGCCTCTACCCATTTGGAAACTTAGACTCTGAAATTCGAATTTGGGGTCTGAATCGTGGAAGGCGTTTCAGAGAACTACTTACAAGAGATGATAAGAAGCATCCCTAACAGCTGGAAATAACTCCTTTTCCTAGAAACCCGAAGAGTGGGGCGTGGAGATCCAGGAGCCGATCCCGACTTGAGCCTATCAATTCTCACACAGACGGGACACCGACGATTACTCCGCTGTGTTCACAGCCTTCCCCATCTGCCATGCCAATCCTGAAGCCCCGTCTGTTTGAATAAAGACCCAGAAGAGGTCACTCTTAATGTGTATACCATAAGCAAAATCATAGTATTGGGGCTAATGCAAGGAAGATGAGCAATAGCGAACTTCAGCAATCAAACAGCATCATACATATGAGTCCAGATAGTCGTGACCTCGAACCAACAGCAAAATTGCATCACGAGATTCACCAAATAAGAACACACCAAGAGTTCATAATTGACCATGCTGAAATAGTCCCATCATCATCATCCACGAAGAACCAGAGTTGATATCCTATCTGGCGCTCGGCGCCCAGACTACATGTGGCAGATCCTATCTAGCCTATACTACAATGCCGAAGTTGACGACAACAGCTCTCCCGAAGTACGAGCATACAGCAACCAATGTCGCACGCTTCCAGCACCAGGTATATCTCTCGCCTTGCTCACAACCTCGTTCCCCAACACACAGATGCCACTTGCACCCAAGGACCACCCTGCGCCACACCCAGCTCAGAGCAGCGCAGCTCGGCTATGGCTGCCTGCTCCTTCCAGCTCGCCCGTGAGCGCGTGAGCGCTGGCCAGCTTCTAGCGCAGCAGCGCTCGCGCGGCATGCAGCCAGCACCCGAATGCCGAATGAGGAGGCAGGCCCTTTGCTATATCGAAGTGGCCTGCCTGCGTCCAGTCCCAGGAAGCTTCCACTAGGCCCCGGTAGCCTGAGGCTCAGCACGATCGAGAACATGCCTGGGGCTTGATGTGGTTGCATGTGCCCAACTGCCTTTGGCATATGTTTGGCCCAGTACCCGTATCCAGCCCAGGGCCTGCTTTCCATTCATTCACACAGGCGCAGCGCAACTGCCTGAATTTCCTTAGTTGCGCAGAGGCCGAAATAAGGCCCTGAGGGGCCTCGTCGAGCCTGCCTTCACTTAGGGCGGCTGACAGGCTCCCAAAAAGGGGCCGAATGGGGCTCATAGAGGCAGTGGCCTCGCATTCCCTCCTCCTTAGCTTCAACAGTCCTCTGAGAAGCTCAGTCTTCGACCATTGGGCGCTTTCCTTTCTGCTGAGATTTCTTGTAGTGGGCTACAACTTGCAGAGCGGTCTGCATGAGTTCCTCCCGGGTAAACCAGCAGTCCTCCTTTGGATCAGTATGATGTCGGAACCGAACGCGGTACTGCAGCTTCGGCTTCGGAGGACATCCCCTGCCTGTGGGTCTTGGAACTGGCAGCTCCCTGTGATCCACTATGTCATCAATATCCACTTCTCCATCCATGGTTGGGGGCAGCATTGAGCGACGAGAAGGAAACTCATTTGTTTCCTTGAAAGGTGCAAGTTTGGAGGTGTGAAAGACAGGGTAAGTGCGAAGATGACCAGGGATCCGAACTACGTAAGATGGCCCATCCAGATCAGTCCCAACAACGTCTAAGACTTCCCAAGGCCCAAAGTACTGAGGCATAAGTTTGCGGGAAATCCCGTACTCCTGTCCCAGTTCTGAGGACTTTACCCAGACTCTGTCCCCAACCTGAAACGTAGAAGGGCGGCGGTGTTTATTTTCAGACTCTATCATTGCCGCCTGTGCCTTCTGCATTTGTTCTACCGCCTGCTGCATCTTTTGTTCATACCGATAGGCAAATTCTAAGGTACCTGGTGCAGCGGTTGACTGATTCTCAGGAAGAAGGAAGTCTAAGGGCAGTCTAGGCTTGAAAGTCAGCAGTAAGCTGTTTGGGCTCACTCTGGTAGCGCTGTGTACAACGTTGTTGTACAAGCTGGCGATGAGAGCCAGCGTCTCATCCCAGTCCACCTGGTTGGGCTTGATGTAATGCCTCAACAGGTGTTGTACAACGAGGTTCAGTTGCTCGGCCTGGCCGTTGGCCTCTGGGTGGTTCCCAGAGGTCATTTGCAACTGGGTTCCCTGCTCCACAGCAGCTGCCTTCCACAACTCACTAGTGAATCGGACATCCCTGTCACTCACTATAGATTTGGGCAAACCAAAATCCCTGACCCAGTTCTCTTTAAACAATTTGATGACGTACTCGGTCTTCGCAGTCTCCGGCATGGCCACTAATCTAGCATACTTACTAAACCTATCCACGATGACAAAGATGTGTCTCATCCCACTCTTGCTGGTGACCAGCGTATCCATGAAGTCCATGGACAGGCTCTCACCAAGCCTTTCCGGAATCGGAAGGGGCTTCAAAAGCCCAAGAGGAGCCTGAGTACGTGGCTTGTCCCTCTGACAGACCTGACAAGTCTCCACGTACAGCTGGGCATCTCGCATCATCGTGGGCCACAAGAACCGTTGCAACAGATTGGTTGCGGTCTTCTTGTACCCAAAATGGTCGGTGACATCATGGCACTCGCCTAAAAACAAACTACGCAAAGACTCTCTATTTGGAACACACAATCGTTTATTCCCTGCCTTCTCAAGGAACAGCAAGCCGTTGACCAACTCAAACTCGGCAGAAGTCTTTTTGTCCTTCGCCTCTAGTCTGTGTATGATCTCAGACATAAACTGGTCCTCGCGATAGGCTTCCACCAAAGAGCGAGTTACATCGTCCGTCAGATCGAACTCAGTTATCAGTGCACTTGAGAAATCAGGTCTACGCGACAAGGCATCAGCAACCTTGTTGTACTCCCCTTTCAGGTACTGCGGGTCAAAGTCATACTGCTCAATGACTTCGATCCAACGCTTTAGAGCGTCAGAGAGCACCGGTTGTGTTCTCATCCATCTCAAGGTTTGATGATCAGTCCTGAGGATGAAGAACCTCCCAAGGAAATAGTGCCTCCAATGGGTCAGAGCCTTGTACACCGCATAGATTTCCTTCTCATAGGTGGACTTTGCCAACTTCTGAGACGACATTTTCTTGGACATGTACTCGACTGGCCTCAACTTTGGCCCTGCACAAGCACGGCGCCAATGTCGTATTGGCTAGCATCCGTGGTAACCACAAATGGCTTGTCAGTATCGGGAAGTTTCAAGACCTCATAGTGCGTCAACGCATGCTTCAGATGTCTGAAAGCAGCCTCGCACTTGTCTGTCCACTCCCATGGGGTGTCAAGGCGGGTTAGATCAGTCAAAGGGGCGGCCACTATGCTATAGTTCTTTACGGAAGTCCTATAGTAGCCTGTCATCCCTAAGAAAGATCTCATCTCAGTCACAGACTGAGGACATGGCCAATCATGAATGCTGGCCACCTTCGCGTCATCAGGCTTTAACCCATCCGCAGAAATCTCATGGCCCAAGTACAAGATACGGGTGCGGCCAAATTCACACTTCTCACCGTTAATCTTGAACTTGTGCTGACGAAGGAGACTAAGGACTTTATCTGACTGTGCCACGTGCTCCTCGACAGTCCTACTGAAGATACGTACGTCATCGAGGTACACGATGACAAACTTGTCTAAGTAGTCATGAAAGATCCGATTCATAGCGTGCTGAAAGGTGCCAGGAGCATTGCACAGGCCAAATGGCATCACCACAAACTCGTACAGACCGTACCTGGTCTGAAAGGCGGTTTTGTGCTGATCCTCAGGCCGGATTGCAATCTGATGGTACCCGAACTTCAGATCTATCTTATTGAAGTACCGACACCCTTGCACTCTATCAAGCAAATCGTCGATGCGCGGTAGTGGCTCCCCGTTTTTCACTGTGATGGCATTGAGGCCCCTATAATCAATGCACATCCTCAATGTGCCTCCCTTCTTTGGAACAAATAGGACTGGAGACCCATAAGGGGAGACACAAGGCAAGATCCAACCCTTCTCTATGAGTTCCTTGAGTTGGCGGTGAAGCTCATCAAGCTCGCCTGGAGACATCTGTTCGGGATGCTAGACCCTGGGATAATCTCTATAGCGTGGACGACCTCCCTATCAACAACTCTTGTTGGCTCTTCAAATAGATCAGGGTATTTGGCAACTACTCCCTCTATCTCCGACGACATTTTCACCGGCTCGCCTGCAGCAGAGATGTAAACTAGGTACATGCCCTCCTCTTGATGTTGCTTATAATAATTATAGAATGCGGCCGCACACATGCATCTGTGGGACTCAATCAGACTACTAGCTTTGAACTTATGTAATCTGGCGGTCCCTCCACCTGGCAAAGTGTGTTTGACCACTTTTCGATCCCAGTCGAACTGGGGCTGTGCAACCGAGAGGTAGTACATACCTAACAGGATGTCCATGGGGAGATCGTTGCTCACCAAGAATGAGACACGATGCCTCAATTCCCCTCCCGCGTACGGGAGCAGGCACTCAACGTCCTGAAGGTAGTCGTTAACTACCATGCGCTGTTTGTTGGCACAGGTCAACTGAGGCACTGCACTCGCCCCTATAAGCGCAACCTATCAACGCACGCGCGACTAATGAAATTCCTCGTCGAGCAAGTGTCATAATAGGTCCCGGTCTTGAGACCGCCAATGACTACCTCACTGACGAACATCTTAGCCTTAGGAGCTTTAACTAGTGCCGTCCAAGAAACTAGTGAGTATAATCTGGACCACTCCTCCTCTAGCTCCTCTAAGGACTCAAACACATTCATCGAACAGAGGGTCGATGGGTCTGAATGTGTTTGCGGGACAATGAGGGAGTCAGTAGCTTGGGTCATCTCTCGAGATGGTGAGGGTGTGTCCACCACCTCGACCCTAGCAGGAACAACTACTATTCCTACTGGCCCGACGTGTTTCCCGGAGCAGTGCCTGAAGTACTGGCAACATTGCTACCAACGGAAGCGGAGGATCCTACCACCTGCCCCATAGTAGGCGGGATCTTCTCGGTAACCTTCTTGTTTCGACACTTGAATTGGTTATGGCCATATTGACCACACCGAGTACAAGCTTGTCGGGTATACCGGTCTCTCCACACGTCCTCTGTGAGACCCGCTTTCTCCCATGGAGGAGCATTGGGGTCAACTTGACTCTTGGACTGGGAGCCTCCTCGGCGTCTACCAGTCCCTTTACCTTTTTGTTGTGTTACGGCAGCGACTACTCCAGTCCCTGAAGCCTCTACGCTGCCTGCCTTTGAACCAGCTCCCAACTGGGGGTCGTCATCCAATTCGATGGTTGAACCATCATTGTCGACGAACATGATGCGCCCCTTCGCCTTCCAGTTGGGAGGCAGTGTCTTCTTCCTACCGTCCGTCGATGGGTTGTGTCCATGCCCTATCTTAGCTTCAAGGTCTAGGGCCTTCTTGCTAAACGAAGGAAAGTTGTGCACATTGATGTTAGTCTCTACTGCCAACTGATTGGCATTGGCAGGCACCTTAGGTAAGTTGTCAGTAAGACTTGGGGATCATAGCGGACCCCAGGAACACAGATCAGACGCTCTACTGCGTCTGTGGCTTCCTTAACTGACTTAAACGAATGAGCGCTCAAAGTCAGGATCGCGTCAGTGGCCTTTTGAGCCTCCCGAGGATCATGCCACCTCTCCTCCACTAACTTGAGAAAGTCATCCAGCTTTTGGTTGGCTGCCCAAGCGCAGAAGCCGTGACCATATCCCTGTAGTTGCACTAACCCACTCAACCATCTTGCTGCACTCCCCTCTAGATAGGAGGTAGCCACAAGCACTTCCTTGTGCGGCAAGGTCAACTTAAACTTCACATAGACCGGCACAGCCCTCAACCACGTGTCGAGGTCTTCGCCCCTCTTGTCCCCTGAAAAGGGTTTAGGAGCAGCAATTGCCGTCTTCGCCCCTCTTGTCCGTGCATCTGTCCCACACTTGGTTGTGGACTCTGGGGAACAGGTTGCTGCACCTGTTGCTGCTGGGGCTGCATCCCCTGCGGCTGCATAGGTTGCGGGACAACAAATTGCCCACTGATGGCAACCTGCGACGGAGGTTGGGATAACACTGAGTGTACAGGAATCTGAACACTAGGTCCTGCTGATAGCCCTCCTGATAGCGGCATGCCCAGGGAAACGATAGCGACCGATGATGGGGCTACATATGGGGATACCCCAGTAACCGGTGGGACAGGAGGAGGAGGATGTGCCACGGGCCAGGCACCAGGCCCTGACGGTAATGGAGCCGCCTGCAATCGTCCAACCAGCCAGGCTAGACTCTGCTGAATGTCTTGGAGGATGGCAGTTTGATGGTCCTGTGTCTCTATGACTCCTAACGGGGCCATCCAAACTACCCTCGTCCGCATCCATATTGGTCAGATCCATTTCCTCTAACTGCCTAACGTCCGCTTCTCTTCGCTGCATCCTGGCTACTCTTCTAATCATTCTCTCTTTCTTCGCTTTTATCTCCCCTAAAGCTTTCTGTAGTTGTGCCTCTTGCAGGGCAGCCTGCTGTATGGCGATCTCCTCGGGTGACAACACAGTTGACTGGCTTGCCATTACTTCAGCCGACTGACTCTGGGTCTGCGCTGCAACTGACCCTACAGCTCCTGAACTCCCAGCCTGAGAGGATTGTTGTGCAGCGCTAGCCATGGCTACTGAAGCAGCGGCTTCACTTGCTAAAGCTCTGCTGGCTTCTGCGTCCCTAGCTCTCTACTGCTGCTGCAGCCTCTCCCTACGCTGGTGGAACAGGTATTTGTCGCCCTCTGGTCCTAATGCCAAATGGGCAATTGGGCGTCTTGCTGATCGCAAGATCTGGTCGTCCGATTATTGTTCCTCCCTATCGCTCATAAGCTACAGTACTGAGCACAATCTGCACTAGGTTACACTAGGTACCTACCACAGCGTAATGCCCAGACCAATTTAAAATAAATAAATAATTTATTGGTGGCTAATTCGGAGTAGATACATTTGGGTCAAACAGGTAAGTGCAGATTCCTATAAATAACACTACTCTACTTTGATTAGTCTGCAAACAGAAGCACAAAGAACAATGAACAGTTCTACTCTATGCTGTCTGTCAGATGTCAATGGCTGTACATCTAACTAATCAAAATAAAAATAATGTCATTTGTTGGGTCTGTTCACAACATGGAATCTTTCTCAAACTTATCACCTGGAATCTACCCTTTTCCCCAATCCGACTTGATTGTCACTTGACGTCAGCGTCCCTGAGTGATCCGGTAGCGTGCGTGACTAAAGGTGTGCACACGGCCCACCCCTGTGCCCCGAGTAACTGCTGAGCTGGCCAGCCCTGCACAGTGTTTACCCTCGCGTGCAGCGAGCCTCACACCATCTGGCTGATCAAGAGGCAATTTAACGTCCGCCCCCAAGTGACATCCGGAATTATTTTACGTCGAAGGAGGACGACGATCACAGCCAGTGGTTTCCCCTGCCGGTGTTTATTTATAGACGCCCGGTGCTCGTCTCTCCCATAGGGCTGGCCTGCCCTTCAGTACCCCTTCTATGAGTGCAGCAAGCAGACGAGGACAAAGCAGCAAAGCATGCGTGCTCTACTCCCGGTGGGTTGGCGTGGTGACCGTGACCCAGTGCTGCGTCCAGGGCCCTTCAGAAAGCACCGCCCTCTCCTTCCAAATGCTCCACGGGAGGTATGCCGACTCTCAAGGTTGGGCGCACACAACACCTCACATGAGAGGAATCTCAAGATGGAACTCACAACCTGGCGGTAAGAAGTGATGAAGAGGGTCGATAAGGTTAAGAGCAATGTACCTCAATATAGCTGCCCCCAACCACAGATATTCTCACCAGATGACCTGATGGCGATTGCCATGAGCAGTCACTGCATCGGCACAACCAGCATTATCTCGTCGTTCCACCTCAGCATCAATCAGCCATCAGATAGTTCTCATCACATTGCGAACACCCAATATACACACCGTAGCTTTCCAGGCGATCCCCTCACCTCTTGGGTCGCCTAATCTTGTCTCCACCCGTTCCACCTATTGCGAACACCCAATATACACACCGTAGCTTTCCAGGCGATCCCCTCACTACTGAAACGGTATTCACCAGTTCGCAGTAGCGAATGCAGATCCCAGGGCTCGATCCTGAGTTCCCCGTCTTACCTATGTATAGTATCAGTGTCAACACGTAGACTTGAACCCGCAACCTGTAGGACCGCCAGTGGTAGGCAGGTTTTCGTAGGTCACAGTTTAGAAGGGAATCGAACTGTAGACTTGTAGGGTAAGAGTCTAGACAGTTCCGAAGTCGTAGCTGTAGGATGTCTGAAGGGTCAAGGTCGTAGCTGCTACTTACCTGAAAGGGCAAAGTCATAGCTGATACAATACCGAAAGGCCAAGTAGAGGTTTCTAGAACTGGCCTTTCGGAGTCAGCCCCTGTTTAGGCCGAGGCAAGTGGGCAAGTGGTATAGGTCCACTACGAAGAGTCAGCAGTCCCAGGTAGCCCAGTCCGGTGCAGTCAAGCAAGTACCGTCTGGGACTGTGCACCTCGTGGGCCAAGGGATACAGGGCAGACCAACGCCACACAGAAGTATAAATCAAGAGGCTGCGTCCAGCCATTCATTCATTCCTGCGGATGCCATGCGGAAGCGCTGCCTCAGCAGCTTGTGCGAGGAGGTCTGTAGTGCGCCCGAAGTCGAAGTGGGCAGTGAAGTGTAGTATAGCGATAGGGTAGTGGCAGCTAGCACTGCCATAGCTGTAGTACAGTGTGTGTGTGTGCTGCGTATGAACACTGAGTGTTGCGTGTGGGACATCCAGGGTGATCCAGCGTGCGAACAGTGAGTTGTGTGGGCGCAGAGCCGCCATAGCCAGTTGAAGAGAACTCTTATTCGGTTACGATATCTTTGAAGACTGTGTGGGCGCATGTCACCAGTTTGCTGTATCGCTGTTTGCATGCAAGACAAGTGTGAGTGATCCGAGTCTGATTGCACTGGTATCAGAGCAGGTACCCGCTGTTCCACGCACGCGATGTGTGCAGGGCCGATGGGCCATAGCTGAAGTGACCGCCGGAGGAGGCAGTCCGCCATAGCGGACCTCGAGGTGGAAGAAGACGCCGCGCACCTGGAACAAGAAGATCACGACGAGAGAGAGAGAGAGAGAGAGAGAGAGAGAGAGAGAGAGAGAGAGAGAGAGAGAGAGAGAGAGAGCTGAGCGATCCAAGATTGGTTGTCACTTACCTGTGA